CCCCGCCCTGCGGCTGGAAGGAAGCTGCGGGCCGGACTCCCCGGAGCCGGAGCCCCCTGCGCTCCCTGCTGGGGGGGAGGTTGTCGCCCCCCCTCACCTCCAGCCTCCACTTCCCCTGCTGCGCCCCCCATCCCGCCTCACTGGGGGTCTCGATGGCCTCCGCGCCCCCGCCCGGCGTGGCGTGGCATTTGCACGCTGCATTGTGCAAGGGGGGGGTTGCACAGGCCTCGGGCGGGGCTGGAGGAGATGCACACGCACCCTGCGTTGTGCAAGGGGGGGCTTCCGCACCTCTCCGCCGGCCCCGGGGGTCCGCGCCGGGCTGGAAAACACGGGCCCTCGTGGCGGGAAGAGGTGCCAGGCCCGGGGGCGACGTGCCAGGCCGGCCGGACCCATCCAACCCGCCGGCCAAGCGGGCAGATGTTTTCCAAGAGAACGGGACGGTAATGGCGAGTTATGAACCCAAAATGCGCGCGAGGGGGCTGCTGCGTCCCCCAGGGCGGTGCGGCGCTCCCCATCCCTGGAGGTGTTTGAGGCCCGGCTGGGCCGACGCGGTTGGGGCTGGTCCCGCTGGGAGACGCAACCCCCATTTTCTACGATTTTTATGCTTGCTTTTCCGGTGGAGTTGTCCCGACACCTCACTTCTGTATCCTCCAATGCAAGCGGCACCCTCTATAGTTATAACTATATACCTACAGGTACATCCACGTCGACACCTCCGCCTGCACGGCGGCGATGCTCAAGGCCCGGGGCCCCTCGCTCGTCTGGCCGAAGGGAGCAGCGTCGTCCCAGGACCGAGGCCCGCGGCAGCGATTCGTCACCTGCCAGGCTCGCCGGTCCAAGCTCTCGCAGAAACAGCTGCCAACGCTGCATCGTGAGGAACTGGAGCCGCGCCTGCTCGGAACGGGGAGCTGTGAAAACGCGACGGCAGCGGGAGTTGGAAACTTTCCTCTGACATCCACCTCGGAGGGGAAACAGGCCTTCTCCGCTATCCCGCTGCCTCCGAGAGCCGAGCGCATGCAGCCTCCCCGGGAGAGGGGACGGTTTCCGAGCCACCCCCGAATGACTGCACCGCTCGCTCTGCGCGTTGCATGTATGTGTTCATTTTTTCCCAAATCGGGTGCGTGGACCCGGGGTAGGGGCAGGATCTTCAGCCAGTGTCGAAGGGTCTGGGTTTGACCTGCCAGGCGTTTTGCTCCACGCTTGCTGACTTTCGGAGTCCGAACGGGACGTGGCGCCGGTGGGGGGGCTTCAAGTCATTTTTAGAAAATTGCAATGCTCGGGACCGGGCGCTGCTGGTGTCGGTGGCTGGGAGACCCCGTGCTAGTTGCACAGGCAAGATGTGGACTGAAAATACGGATTATGCCCACTGCACGCCTTCCCCGGCACCTTTTTAATGGGTTGCCCGGAGAGGTTATCCTTTGCCTCCCTTTCCCCCCATCCAGCCCTCGCTCCGGTCCTGCTGCGGTGGACGGAAACGTCCCCGAAAGTCCCTTGTCAATGGATATGCAGCAGCCTGGAGCTATCCTGAGAGACCAGGGGTTGCATTTCAGGGTACTGCAAGTCGCTTGTTAGAGAGGGAGAGGAAGTGTCCTGGTTCACGTGGATTTCAAAGCAACATTTGCCCATCCTAATTATACACCCGCTTCTTCCCAAGCGGTTGTTTTTCTTCTTCCGAGTGGTGTCGGGAGACGATTAGCGAGAGAAACGACGCGCCAGGAAAAGGTCTCCTGTGTTATCCGAGCGGGTTACGTGTTTCATGGGGTCGTTTCCGACGCGAGAACGAGGTTCGAAGCTCTCCCGTGCCGAACGCAGCGGCCTGCCTGGCTCCGGGAGAGGAGACCCGCAAAACACGAGGGGTAGGACACCCGCTTTCAAACCACTTGTTGCCTCCAAGTGAGGCACCTCCTTCCTCCTCCATTTCCTTTCAGCCCAAGAGCGCTTGGGTTATTGTGAGGTCAAGCTCTGAGCCTCGCGGCGTAAAACCAGCATAATTAGACCCAATAATGGGGACACGTGTGAATCATGTGAGAG